GGTCTATGGTGCAGTATACAGATCCTCAATGGAAGGCAGGCTGGTTGCAATTATTTTTTCTGCAGTCCTAACTATCCGTTGAAGCCTGTGTCTGCCTTGTTTTGTTGCTTTGCCAAACCAGACAGTTATCAAGGTGCAAATGACAGACTCAATAATAACTTTGTAGAACTGTATCAACAGCTTCTTGGCAATCTGAGCTTTCTGAGTTGGCGCAGGAAGAACATTTTTATTGTGCTTTTTTGATGACATTTTGTATGTAGGTATCCATTTTAAGTCTTGAGATATTATAAAACCTAGAAACTTGAGTATTGTAAGAGATGGTAGAATAGGAGGGCTTCTTCTAAAATCTACTATCATCTCTACAGTTTAGAGTGTGTTCAGTTCAAGATTGTTCCGGCTGCACCAAGGGGCCAATTGTAAAACTTCCCATCTGTATGCAGGTTCGTCATCTTCTCAAATGAGACCAATCACTGTTGCATCATCTGCAAACTTCAGTACTTTAACAGAGGAATCCTTTGTGATGAAGTCGTTGGTATAGAGAGAAAAGTAATGGAGAGAGCACACAGCCCTGTGGGACACCTGTGCTAATTGTACAGGTATCTGATGTAATTTTGTCTGGCTTCACCTGCTGCTTCCTGTTAGAAAGTTTATGATCCACTTACAATAGATTCCTGTATTATTTATAATATAAGAGCTAGTTTGGTGTACTAGTTAAGGCATCAGGCTAGAACCTGGGAGACATGAGTTCATTATTTTAGTTAATTTACATTTAGGTAATGAACTACTTAAAAATCTCTCATCAACTATATTCAAAGTTATTTTGTAATACTTGGATTGTTTGACCATGATTATATAATTGTTAAAAATTACACAGAGAATGTTTCACTGATTTTATGCATTTGAATTTTTGTTATATATAAATAAAGCATACTGTTTAGTAATATTAATGCTACTAGCAAGTTATATCAATACACTAATAATATATTTGTATATGTTTGAATAATGATCCTATTTTTTTTTACAAAAGTAAAATTAACGAAGAAATATTAGTGCTTTAGAAAAACCATTCCTATAAATAATAATATATGTAGATTTTTAAAATGTTCTCTCTCCGTCCCTCTTTCTCTCTTCCTCTCTTTCTCTCCCCACTCTCTCCTCTCTCTCTGCCCTCTTTGTATACTAGACGTTTGTGCAGTGCTAACTGCCATCATCTCCTAATCCTGATTGTGCAATTATTTTATGGTTTACCTCTCCATATAAAGTTGTTATTGTTTTCGGAATGTGACTTTCTTATAAAGATAGGGAATTGCACTTAATGAAAAGCTTAATTACTATGCTACATTGTATGTAGTAATTTCCTTTTTGGGGGGATGATCTAGAAATGCTATAATAGCATAGCAATAGCATTTAGATTTATATACTGCTTTACAGTGTTTTATAGCCCTCTCTAAGTGGTTTATTGCCCCCAACAATCTGGTTCCTCATTTTACCCACCTTGGAAGGATGGAAGGCTAAATCAACCTTGAGCCTGGTGAAATTTGAACTCCCAAATTGCAGGCAGCCAGCAGTCAGCAGAAGTAGCCTGCAGTACTGCACTCTAACCACTGCACAACTTCATTGAATTATGCAATGTACAAAGACTGTAGCTTTTAATTTTTTTATGTATTCAATAAATATCCAGAGCATAAGGCACTAAGAGTTTCTGGTCACAAATCGGTATTCTGTTAAATGGATGAGGTTTTTTTGTTCTTCTCCTTACAACCTAGGTTGCAAACAGATTTACTATTCTGCAACTTGGAAGTTATTGTCAAAATGTAATTCAAAGATAATTTGTTCCTAGAAAGATAGTGGAGTTTTTTTTTTAAAGCACATAATTTGCTATTGATTTTGGCATTGAATCAGCAATTGTTAGATTATTTTTGTGGTAATTTTATTGAACACTACAATGTAAAATATAAGAACTAATAGAAACTAAAAAAAGAAAAGAATAAAAAAGAAAAATACATGCCAGATATCAAAAGGGGGGGAGGGGGAGAGACCCAATCCAAAACCCTTGTCTAGGTAATTAAATGTAAAAGGAAAATGTCTTCCTCTCCTTTCCTAACTGAATAAATACTACAGTACATAAAACAATCCAAGACTTTCTGCTAAATTGGCAAGCTCACTTTCTAATCTGTTTTTTCATAAGAATCCATTCTTTGTGCTTTGTCTACCAACTGAGTCCTCCATATTACACCTCAAATGAACTTTATATTTTAAACAGTACGCTTAGAGATTAGAGAGCACTTCCATATCGACTGGTTTAATTTTATTTATTTTTATTTTTATTTATTTATTTGTTGAGTACGTATTAGATAATATACATAAGTATAAGCATGAATTTTAATACATAAAATGAATACAATTAAAGAGAACATTAGGACAGGGATGGTAGGCATGTTGGTGCTCTTATGCATGCCCCTTACAGACCTCATAGGAATGGAGTGAGGTCAACAGTAGCCAGTCTAAGGTTAAAATTTTGGGGTTTTTGGTAGAGTCAGGTAGTGCATTGCAGGCATTGACCATTCTGTTGCTGAAGTCGTATTTTCTGCAATCGATTTTGGAGCGGTTCACTTTAAGTTTGTATCTATTGTGTGCTCATGTATTGTTGTGATTGAAGCTGAAGTAGTCATTGACAGGTAGGAGATTGTAGCAGATGATTTTATAAGCTATGCTTGGGTCATACCGAAGACAGCATAGTTCTAAATTTTCTAAGCCCAAAATTTCAAGTCTGGTGGCATAAGGTATTTTGTTGCGAGCGGAGGAGTGGAGAATTCTTCTTGTGAAATATTTCTGGACACATTCAATTGTATTAATATCCGATATGCAGTGCGGGTTTCAGACAGATGAGCTGTATTCAAGAATTGGTCTAGCAAATATTTTGTATGCTCTGGTTAGTAGTGTAATATTACCGGAGAAGAAGCTATGCAAGATTAGGTTTACAACCCATAATGCCTTTTTGGCAATGTTGTTACAGTGGGCTTTGGCTGCCTTGGGGAACACCGCTATTAACAGGTGCAGGATTTGATAGGGCACTCCCTATTTTGACCACTTGTTGTCTGTTTGACAGGAATGCGGTTATCCAATTATGGAGGGGTCTGGAGATGCCATAGGATTTTAGTTTTAGAAGTAGTTTGTCATGTACCACTGAATCAAAGGCTTTACAGAAGTCTATGTAAATTTCATCTATTGCTTTGCCCTGATCAAGATTTGTATGTTTTTGCAGTGAAGAAGTTGTAGATTACAGGATAATTTACTTCTGAAACCAAATTGTTTATTAGAGAGTAGGTTGTTTGTTTTTATGTGGAGGGTAATGGATTGGTTGATGATTGATTCCATGACTTTGCAGGTGACGCAGCATAAAGAGATTGGTCTGTAATTTTCGACTAGCCTGGTGTCTCCCTTTTTGAAGATAGGGATGACTATGGCTAGTGACCATACGTTGGGTAGGGAGCTGGTCCTGAAAGATTTTTCGAACATTATGCTTAGGGGTTCTGCTATAGCAGTAGAAAGCTTTTTTAAGAAGTATGCACATAGTCCATCAGGTCCAATAGATAGAGATGGTTTTAGTCTATGTAGTGCCTTTTCAACATTATCTTCTGTGAAATCTATTTGTGTTAGATCGTTGTAGTTATTAGTGGTATGACTAGGGAATGTTGGGCATGTTTACAAAGACTGATCCGAAGAATGTGTTATCCTTTGTGCTACAGGGAGCTACCAAGGGATTCAGGAGTTACTGGCAGATACACAATATATCTTTCATAGAACTGCACACAATGAGAAAGGAAATAAAAGTATAAAAGCAATGAGAACAAACATGCATTTCCCCATATAATCTATTATTCATGGTTTATTAATTTAATTAAATTTATAAAATATAAAGTAGGTTTTGAGACCCTCTGGGGCTGAACCACTAGATAAAATGAATTGAATATATAAACAGAATGAGAACTTTATATAGAATTTTACTCTATTCCACATCTCTAAAGTTGCAAGTATAATTGTCTTAACTCTTTGTGCGAGCCAGGACTGGATGTCTATGTTGGGCGAACATAACTAATTTTAATTAAATATTTTTTTATTTCCCCCATCTCCATCCTAGTGGAGTGAGACAAAGTAAATCTCTCACTTTATGTTCCAAATAATTCATAAATTGATAATTACATGTTGCCAATTACTTTTTTTGCTCCCAAACGTCAGATGAAAAGAATGACTCCATATCACTCTTTTGCTGGTCACCATTGGCTGTATAATTGTGCTTTCAAACTTTTTGTGAAGATATATTTGGACTTCTGAAATTGATTATACCTACTGTCCCAGTTTCTCTAACTCCATTGAAAATAACCTCCAAGGCATTAGAATTATTTTGTAGATTAGAACTCAAAAGTACCAATGTAAAAGGAAATGTTCATTGTGCCACAACCCTGTTGAACTTACAAAGAAACATTGTATGCCAGTGAAAATTATTTGTGAGACAGCTCTTCAAATAGTGAAAAAATAAAATATTTAATAATGCAATTTGGGCTTCAGTTTAGTCATTAGCAAAGCCCCTTAACTGCAATTCATACATTATATGGATTTATAGTTTTATACAAACATTGATAATGACAACCATGATTGAATGTCACTGTTTTCTGTGCTAGAAAATAATTTTTTCATTTGTAAGATTCACATATACAAATTTGACTAAATCGAGCAGATTTATTGTTCTTTAGTTACACTTCTCTTAGTATTTTAGCTTGCAAGCTTCTTTTTGATGTCCCATTCGTCTTCATAAATGAAATGACTTGCAAATACTTCATAAGATGACAATTACATATCATCAATTACTTTCTTTGCTTCCAAGGATTTAATAAGGATGCCAGGAATAATATTGTTCCTCTTAGTCATAATTTGGTGAAAAATGCCTACAGATGACATTGATCAAAGACAAATTAAAATTATTGCCTATTACTTTACAGTGCTGCCAAACTTCTGGACAAGAATATATTTACTGTCAACACCGCAAATCCACTGCTTCCTTCTTCTGCAAGTCTTCATTTGGCTCAGCTTCAGGCACAGCTTACACTACACAGACTAAAATTGGCTCAGACAGCAGTGAACAACAACACAGCAGCTGCAACTGTCCTGAACCAGGTTCTTTCTAAAGTGGCCATGTCTCAGCCACTTTTCAATCAATTAAGACACCCTTCCATGTTTAATACTCTTCCAGGACATGCTGTAGGTCCTGGGGCCACCAATACTAGATTTCCACCTGGTGGAATACATTTTCCAACACAGAACCCATCTTTGACGGCCCATGGTGGAACTCTGGGGTCAGTAAGTAACCTTCCAAATCAAAATGTCAGTACTGTAGTCCTAAACCCTTTTGGGGGTGTAATTTCTCAAACAACTGGACAACAAGCTGTATCTATGGGTCTAAATAAAACTAGTGCCTCCTCTACCACAAGTGGATGTTATGATTACAATGAACAGCTTTTCTCCTCTGATGCTGGTCAATGCTGCCAACAGAGCTTTATAACCAGTGGTTCTCATCCAGTCCCAGTGTCATCTGGAAATGGAATGTCTGAAGGCCAACTGGGATTTCAGAAAGAGTTTTATGGAGCTATGTCTAAAGGCCAGCATACAACCTGTACACAGTCTTTGACATCTGCTGCTGACTCTCAAAATTCTCATCAGAATCAAAAAGGAAAAATGGGTTCTATAGTACATGAAAGAGATACAAGCAATCAATGGGAAAATCCTTCTACTTTCTCTAGTCAAAATAAAATTGACATTATGCCCAATGCCAATGTGTGGCCATCAACAAATGTCCCATACGAAGTAAGGAGTGATCTCTATAACCCTGAAGAACCAACACCAGATACAAAATTTAGCACTGGTACTCCATGTTTTTTCAGCAGAACTAAAAATGGTAAACAAAATTACAGTAACACACAAACAAGACAGAAACAGGAACCTGTTACTTCTGGATTGCCAGTGAGGCCTCTTCAGTCCCATGAATTAAATGACTTTCATAGTATTGCACCTCTTAGCTTCCCACACATTTGTACATTATGCAGTAAGAAGGTATTTGACCTTAAGGTAAGTTTGTTTCAGATTTGGACCTTCTTGTTAAGTTGTCTCTTTCCAGATAATAAGTGTTTCGTTGCTTAAGAACTATCATACCTGGGTTACTTTATCAATAGAATCAATGCATTATATTTTTTCTGACAGGATATATGTATTTTTAATTTTAAAAGTGATAAAACAAGTTTATATCTAAAATCACAAGGTATGCTGTTCTATATCTTGCCATGGTACTATTGTAATTATTATAGTTAATAATTTCTGATACTATTCTACATGCATATGCATTTGATGTTTTACTAACATTTGTAAATGAAAAGATGAAATGTCATTAGAATTGCCTGGAGAATTTTAATGTGGGTAAAATAACTACCACCAGATTAAATTTGTTCTACATCATTGATATGTAACATTAATATTCCATCCATAATATTGCAAATGATAAAGATCTGACTATTTTACATTGGTAATTGTCACAACTCTGTGCAAACACTCAAATTTATATTCCTCCCAAAATCACAAATCCCACTCCATAAAGACTGGATTCTAGAAAATGTGCACTTTTGTTCACGTGTGTCCAGTGACATTTCTCTAGATGGGATTAACATAAATTGAAATTGTTTTCTTACCCATAGAAACATCACCTAATTATACAGAGTAATGGACTTGAATAATTTATGGACTTACTTGACTAAATGAATGATTTAAGGTCTTCATTTTGGCCACCCTATTTTTCAAAATATAACATCTTTTCTTTTATCATAACTTGATGAATGGTATAGAATTTTTTTCATAAAAATGACAAAGTACTATGGATATAGCACACAAGATGTATCTTTTCTGGTATTTCATTCTATCTTTCTTGTTCTTTTAATTGAGGACTGGGATCAGCACATTAAAGGAAATCTTCATATTCAGAATTGCTTGACTTTCTCAGAGAAGTGAGTAGTTGAAATATATATCAGTGCATCATCTTTAGTCTTTTATATTTGTATCTAGTGAATGAATATATATCTTCACACATACACACTTACTCATGCTCAGAAAACAATATAAGAAACAGAATTATTTTCAAAAGAAAAAAATATTGTGACTGACAATCTATGACAAATGTAATATTAAGATACAGCTTTGAAAGTGAGATTTCTACTTGCCTAAACTGGGCTTCATACCAATAGATGATCTCCCTTAATCATTTTGTGTACATGTTAAACAGGAGAGGTGAAAGGCTTCAATTTGGAGGCACTCCACTTTGCAAGACCCTAGGTCAGTGTTGGCGAACCTTTTTGGCACTGAGTGCTGAAATGGGAGAGAGCGCGTGGGCAGGGGGGAACTCCCGAAACCAGAAGAACAGCTCCCCGACGCATGCATGTGGGAGCACCAGAAACCGGAGGAGCAGCTCCCTTTTGTGCATGCAGGCGCCGGGAATCTGAGCTTCTGGTTTCTGGCGTGCACATGCACACCATCACCTGGTCTTCCAGTTTCTGGCACACATGCATGCACAAAGACCAGCTGGCCAGTGCGCACATACCGGAAGCTTTGTTTTCCAGCGCATGCATGCACACCAAGGAGCTGCTTTTCCAGTTTCCGGTGCTCCTGCGCACATGAAGACCAGAAGAGCAATGGGTTCCCGGAGAGATGGCTCTGCATGCCACTTCTGACACGCGTGCAATAGGTTCGCCATCACAGCCCTAGGGCATGACTTGTCTTTCCCCACCCACCCTGTCTGGAATGACTGCAGAGGAAGGAGAACCACCACATTGCCTCCCACTCCAAAACCTTAAGTTGATCCATAATACCATGGTCAATGATATTGAAAGCCAGGGAGGACCAGAATGGTTATACCACCTCTATCCCAAGCCTTCCAAAAGTCATCAACAAGCACAGTCAATGCTATTTCAGTTCTGTGCTCTGGACTGAACCCGGATTGAAAAGATAATCTGCCTCATCCAGGGCCCACTGTAGTTGTGTACCAACCTCTCAGTAACTTTCCCTAAAAAAGGAAAGACTGAGTGAAAGTTGTTTAACACTGTTGAGTTCAAACATCGCCTCCTGAGAAGAGGCACAACACTGCCTCCTTCAAAGAGTCACTTTCAATGGGCAGCAAAATTAATAAATAAATAAAGCAGATGACACCACCCCTTCTTGAAAAGAGGCATTGATCATTGCTTGGACCCAACAACATACTACCTCCTGGGTGGCCTTTATCAATTAAAAGGGCATGGGAAACTAGCTCGAACTCCTCCCAGATAACAAGATACAGATGTAACCCTGTCACGTCCAAAAGATTTGCCCAGCTAGAGCCCAACTCCAAGGGAAGTTGAGCAACTTTATCTGACATGTTTAGAATATTCGTCACAGCAACCTTCCAAGGGTTTACCCAGCTCCTTTTTACCTAGGAGGGACCTGGCCACCAAAACAGGACTGCTGGTTGGTAGTTGCAGGTGCGATGAGAGTAGAGAACTAGTTACACTAAATTGCTTTTATTGCCACAAGTTAAGTCCTAATGTAGGGTATTTCCTGTGCTCAGTCAGTCCCATTCTTTGTCTTCCTCCAATAGTGCTTGAGTATCTCATGTCACTTCATTTTTTGGAACAGCTCTGTAAAACATGGTGCTCTATGAAATCAATGTAGACAGAGAGTGTGGTTCATGGCCCCCCATTCCAAGCTGTGACCAGGACTCTGGTGAGCTTTTGACCAGAGCTTCGGAAAGAACCTCACATTCCCTTTAAAACACACTTGGCCTGGGTAGGCAAGTTGAATAGACTCCACTTGCCTGACATAGGAGGTGGCTGTGGAGAATTCTAGGGCGAAGAGAGCGTGGTCCCTCTGACAAGAGACTGATACTAATGTCCCACAAAACCAGATCATAACACCACTATCAAGGCAAACACAAGATCTATTGAGTGACACCTCCCCCCCCATGTGAATAGGACTATGGATAAGTTGGACAAAGTCCATGTCTGCCATCGTGACCATGAACACCTGCACTATCTCAGACCCCCTTCCCAGAGCAGCAGATTGAAATACCCCCATACTATAAGCCTAGGGAACGCCACTGGCAGCCCAGACACAGAATCCAAGAGTGCAGACAGGCATGCTGCTACACTGCACAGTAGAAGATAAATGAGTAGCAAACCATACTGCTCCCATGGCCCAACCTTTTATATCCAGTGATGTTGGGAGCAGGATAGATTGCAGATACTCTACTACAGATATTTTTGTGAAGTCTAACTACGCTGTTCTTAACAAAAGCAGAAGGAATGTTCACTGAATTCAGATACAATTCTCTTGTATCTGAATTCAGTTTATGCTTCAGTTTTATTTATATTTTAATTATAACTCTAATCATTTATTTTGTATTTTCCAGCTGTTTTCCATGGTTATTTATTGGTTGAAAAATTTTAAAAGATTCCAAGAATAGCCAGTTGTACTAACTTAATGTTAAGTTTGATGTTTAGAATAATTTCATAATTTCTGTTACTGGTGTGGTATTATTGTATTTCTTCAGTACAACATTTGTGGTAACTAAGCTCATTAAGATCCGACCCATGTATTCTTATTCTACATCTGAATTTCAATTTTTGTTTCTTTTTTTAGCACTAACATACATTGTATGTTGCATTCAGCAGCAAAAGGAGTATTGCATTCTTCCTCTCCAAATAATAAAAGTGTGTTCAATGTGTCTGGTACTGAAGGTAAATCATTCAAGTAATACACACACACACACACACACACACACACACACACACACACACACACACTGTGTTTCCCCAAAAATAAGACAGGGACTTATTTTCTTTTGACCCCCGAATAAGGGCTTGGCCTTATTATCGGATGCTCTTATTATTTTGGGGGTGCAGGAGGCGATGAGTGTGAGACTAGATGTCCTGTCGCTGCCATCGCCTGCCCTTCCTGTTCTTCACGCCGGCTGAGTGGCCCAACATGTCCCACCACACCCCAATGGCAACAGCTGCTTCCCTTCCCCACTGTCTCTTTATCGAGAGGGGTTGTAGGTGGGGTGGGCGAGAAGTGGGACGCACGTCTTATCTTTCCAGCTCCGTCATGTTTCTCGCCATTGTGTCCAGAGAAACACGCTGTAAAAGAAAACCTCGCAAGTTCAATCAAACTTCTCGAACTCGCGATAAGGTTTTCTTTTACAGCGTATTTCCCTGGACACAACCGTGAGGAAAGAGATGGAGCTTGAAAGGTAAGACATGCGTCCTGCTTCTCGCCCGCCCCACCTCCCACTTCCAAATTGCATCCCTAAAGGGGGTGGGTGGATAAGCAAGGGGCATGAGTCCTACCATGCTCTGCGAGGGGGGGGGGAGAAGAGATGGCAAGAAGAGCCATGTCTCGCTCCACGCCTCTTGCTTCTCCCCCGCCCCTCTGCCACCCCTCTCGATAAAGAGACGGCAGGGAAGGGAAGCAGCCAGGCTGCTGTTGCCATTGGGGTGGGATGGAACGTTTTGGGCTGCTCGGCCGGCGCAAAGAATGGGGAGGGGAGGGCATGTCCCCCTCCTTGCCCTTCCTCCGGCCTCACCTCCTCAACTCATTTTGGTTGCGCGGCAAGTAACCAGAGGAAATGGCGGGCCTGGCTGTGCATATATGTAAGTAGTTGGTGGGGGGGCTTATTTTGTGGGGGTGTTTTATATTATCGCATACACTGAAAAGCCTGATTGGGCTTATTATCCGGACATGTCTATTCTTCCTGGTTATATCTTGAAGTAATAAGTTAGCTTAGCTTTCTGTAAATTCCTCAGACTTTCATCATTCATTCATTCATTCATTCATTCATTCATTCATTCATTCATTCAATTTCTATAGCTGCCCAACTCAACCAAGTAACTATGGATGGTTTATAGTTCTAAAATTACAAAATAATTAAAGCAATTTAAAAAACATTAAAACAATAAAAACAAAATAAATAGATGCAAACAGCAGTCATCACTAGAGCAATTACTATCAAGAGTAACTGAAATTATTTTACTCTGTCAAAATCTATGTTTAAGGAAATGCCTTCTTTTTTTTTTTTTGCATATATATATAATGGTAGATTTTCATGGAATATGTGTCATTTCTTTAGATTACCCTTTAAATGCTGAGTCATACAATTCTACATCTTCATTTGGCCAGTCAAGTTCCACATTCTCTTACGTACCACCTGGTGGAAATGTGAGTATTTTTATTATAGTTGGTTGCACAATCAGCCATCTGTTTAGACTGGATTTGGAATTTTTATTCATCTATGGAATCCTTTCTAAGGGCCTGACATAGGCAGATGTTGTTGTTTGATGGTGTTAAAGATATTGTCACAGGATGCAAGCTGTTCCAAGTAAAGCTGCCTTTTGCAATTGACAGATGGTGATTTTGTCAATGCCACAGGCATTCAAGTGGTACTCCAGATGTTTTGGGATTGCACCCAAGGTGCCTATTACAATTGGTTGCTTTCTTTTGCCACAGTTGTTCTACTTTTATTTACAGGCCTTTGTATTTTGTTGTTTTCTCCAGTTCTTTCTCTTTTCTTCTGCTATTTCCAGGTATTGCACTGTCCACTATCAAAACCCTTTGACTTTCTCATTGATAATTGTTAAATCCGGAGTGTGGCAGGTGCTTATCTGTATTTTCAAGTCCCAGAGCACTTTAGCTTTTCATTTTCCGTTCCTTTTTTGATCCCACTGTTCTTGCTTGCAGGCAAATTGTATTTCCTTCAGATTTTCCAATGCTTCATTGTTGCTACTTTGTCATGCCGTTGCTTGTAGTCATTCTGTCCGCTCTTCTTCCAGCAGCTAACTAAGTGGTCCACTGTTTCTTCAGCTTCTTTGCAAAGATGGCATTTATTGCAAGTTCCTGTCTTTTCAATTCTGGCTTTGAATGTATTTGTTCTTAAGACTTGGTCTTGTACAAACAGAATTAGTTCCTCTGCCTCTTTCTTTCCCACTCTTTCTGGCCATTGTCAGCTCTTCTTGTTATCTGTTTTGCCTTCTAGGTTTTTTTAAAGTACTGGTCATGTAACACTTTGTCTTGCCTTCCCTCTTTTCTATTCTTCATTTGGTCTTTCTTGTAAACCAGTTTGGTCTCTCCAGTATTCACTAAACCTCCATGGTATACTAGCTTCTGTGTATTTTCACTGTCCTTCAGTGAAAATAGCAATAGCAATAGCACTTAGACTTATATACTGCTCCGTAGTGCTTTTACAACCCTCTCTAAGTGGTTTACAGAGTCAACATATTGCCCCCAACAATCTGGGTCCTCATATTACACACCTCGGAAGGATGGAAGGCTGACTCAACCTTGAGCCGGTGAGATTTGAACTGCCGAACTTGAGTAGCCTGCAGTACTGCACTGTAACCACTGTGCCACCTCGGCTCTATTGAAGATGCAGTGATGGACATTCCAGTAGCCTTTTTTCTTCTTCATTATAGTCCACCACACAGTCATCCAGAAGTTTAGAATGGATTTGGCATTTTTATCCACTTACCAAGTTCTTCCTGAAGACTGGAATTCCACTGGAGTCACTTTCTGTTCCATACTGAAATTGCTCCTGGAGACTGGGTTGCATGTTAGAGATAAGCCAGATTCTTTATCAAAGCTACAAGGAAAAATATGACTTAAACCAAAATTAAAAAATGCCATATAAAGAAATTCAGGGAGAGACATCTTCCTAATTCACATAAGTATAAGACGAGATGGGGAAATAAAGCACAGACCATCTTGCAGAGTCTGTTACTGTAGCCAATATTAATAAACAAAGTTTTAACTATCACAAGGAACATCTCAGCTGCCATATTGAGTCAGTCAGTGTGTTCTACACTGGGCCTAAATTATCAAGATGACAGAGAGAAACTGCAATACAAATTTCATCTCTTTAAACACCACAATCTTTAAACACCATATCTATTTAATAACAAAAAAAATCCTTTATAGGAAGCTGTGGTAAAGTGAATAAAGTTAATAAGAAATGAGAGAGAATGAGAGTATTGTATAATTTACATATTTTTTTTGTGTAATAATGGAATTATCCTGATATTAAGTAGTACCCATTATTTGACAGAATACAAAGGAAAGCCAACAATCCAAAGTAATTCCATCTTTCTTTTTTGAATACAGATTCTTTAAAATGTAACTCTGTTGGTTCTCATTGGGTGCATTGCCTCCTTTTAGAGGAATCAAGCTCCAGAGTGTTAACTGGCAGGATCTTAAGTCAGCATTCAAAGCCTGTTCATGTTCTTTAGTTGCAAAGATGTGATCAAGTCATTCTCCTTAGTCTCAAATTTCAGTTGCTACTCAAGGCTAAGGGTAAGACACTAATGAAGTGTGAAGCTGTGTTGCCTTTTCAGCACAGATATCAAACGTCGCTTCTCGGGTAAATGTATAATATTCATAGTTATCCGTGGGGGCCAGAGAGTGTGAGCAAATGGCAAAATATGAGTCACAACAACATGATGCAAACCATGTGACTTATCTACTTGCCCCTGATATTTCATTATTTTTTTTATCATTGTGATGTGTACTAAGACATTGATGGTACAGTTATCTCCGGGAGTATTAGAGAAATGGGATGTGTTTTTAGACCTGGATGATATATGCATAGTGATTAGTAGAACGGTGGATTTATAGATTTCTCCAAAGTATTGTTGCAGTCTGTACCTTACATAAAAGTGTTATTTATATATCTTTCAATATACAATTACATGATAGTATTAATTTTTAACCAGATTCTTTGGCTACAACAAAAGGAAGATTATATGTATTTATGAACAAGTATTTGAGATTCTAAAAATATCAGCTCTGTACAAACTAAGCGCAGGATAAGAAGTGTGATTTCAAATTTGTATGTTTAGCTGGTGGTTGTTTTACAACTTGTTTCTTTTTCTAAATTTATTTTTAATAATTGCAGGTTCTACAAAGGAAATATGTCCCAGGTCGTGTAGTACACATCTGTAATCTTCCTGAAGGAAGCTGTACAGAGAATGATGTAATCAACCTTGGACTTCCCTTCGGAAAAGTCACTAATTATATTCTCATGAAATCTACCAATCAGGTATTTTTTTTTTAGTTATAGAAATGTAAATACGTCAACCTTTTGTTTAAGTTTTGCACATTCTATAAAAAATGGTTAGGAACTCTGATGATTGAACTTGGGGTTGATAGGATTTGGAGTTGTAGAGAAAACAAGGTCTCTTTTTTCTGTTTGGGAAAGTATACCGTGATAATCCTTTTGTGTGTTGTGTTCAATATATCTGAGATCTAATAAGGTTCCTTTTTGGAAATCTCTGTGTGTAATAGAAAGAGAAACAGGGAGAAGCAAGGTAACTAGTAAACACTAACAAAGCTTCAGCCTTTCTATTCCTCCCTCTTTCTTTTCATTCAACTGTTTTCCTGGTTTGCAGAATATTTGTCAACCTACCTACTTACCTTCTACACTGATGATCTATCATGATACCTTCTTTTCCTCTAGAATTAAAGATAGTAGCCTCCTTTAATTTTCTGCAACTAATATTCCAGACTATTCCATTAGTGGTAAAGAATGTGTGTGTGTATACTGTATACATATATATCTATCTATCTCTATCTCTATCTCTGTCTCTGTCTCTGTCTCTGTCTCTGTCTCTATCTCTATCTCTATCTCTATCTCTATCTCTATCTATCTATCTATCTATCTATCTATCTATCTATCTATCTATCTATAATGTGTGTATAAATATGTTGAAATAATTTATATTTAGAAAAAATACATTTTAAAAATATAAACTTTATATACTATTGTAGTTTTTGCTATGTACTAAATTTCTTCTATGTACTAAATAACTTAACTAAACTCTAAACATTGTTTGAATTATCACAGGCTTTTTTAGAGATGGCCTATACTGAAGCAGCACAGGCTATGGTGGAATATTATAAAGAGAAACCTGCAATGATAAATGATGACAAGTTACTCATAAGAATGTCTAAAAGATATAAAGAACTTCAACTAAAGGTGATATCATTGTTTGTCATGTCATTCTGTTAATCTGGCTGCTCAGAAATGGTCTTCGACTGCACATTTTGGTTTACAGATAAAATTTAAGTATTTATTTTTATTTATTTATTTTATTTTTATTTATTATTGAATTTCTATACCGCCCTACTCCCGAAGGACTCAGGGCGGTGCACAGCCATGAAATAAAACACATAGATATACAAAATTTAAAATCGAATAAAATGAATTAAATAAATTTGGCTGAATTAATACCCATAATTTAAAATACCCATATTTTAAAATCCATTAAAAATTTAGAATTTACACTTAAAAGGGAGAAGATTTAGGCGAGGCCAGCTTGATGAAATAAAAGCGTCTTCAACTCGCGGCGGAAGGTGCGCAGATCCGGAATCCTCCGTATCTCTGGGGGGAGCTCATTCCAGATCGTCGGTGCCCCCACAGAGAAGGCTCTCCCCCTAGGGGCCGACAGCCGACATTGTTTGGCCGACGGCACCTGGAGGAGCCCCTCTCTGTGGGAGCGTACTGGTCGGTGGGAGGCTGTTGATGGTAGTAGGCGGTCCCGTAAGTAACCAGGTCCCAAGCCATGGAGCGCTTTAAAGGTGGTAACCAAAACCTTGAAGCGCACCCAGAAGACCACCGGGAGCCAGTGCAGCTCGCGCAGGAGAGGTGTTACATGGGAGCTCCTTCCTCTTATCTTCTTTTTCTGCAGCCATCTAGTGATTGATATGTACAGAGTATATGCATTGTTCATTGATGGGTTCTATTTCCTGTTTAATTTGTTTAAATATGCCAATGATACAAACAAAATGCATCAAAATGATGCAAATCATGACTTCTTTTACTGTTTCTTTTTGTTTGATCTTTGACTGATTATGTGATTGACCAAGCAATTGCAATTACATATTCCCTACAATTCAGAATGCACATCCTATCAAGTTTCCTTACTAACCTATAAAAGAATTATTTTTTAAGTGTTTTTTTTTTTAAATAATTGGAGCCTTTTTTCTTAAAGGACTATTTCTACAGAACAGTTTATTGCAGTGGCCCTGTGGAGTGGGGGATTCACTGTGGAATAGGTTTCTGAAGCCTTCTTCATCTTCTTCCCTCCCTCTCTTTTTCTTCTGGGATCATTCCCATAAAATATTTTATTGTAATTGCTTCTAGAGAAAAGAAGACAATTCAGTCATAGCACATTGTTGAGATAGATTTTTCATGCTTTCTTTTCTTCTCTTCCATATTTCTGTACTAACAGATAAGCAATTCCATACCCAACCTTACATGAAGACAAGGCTATGTTGTGACTTTGTCTCTTCCAAAAGTAATCACAAGTACATTTTGCTATTTTTCCCCTTCAAATACTCCTCCTTGGTAGACTTTGGATATTCAGTGAACCTAATATACTAGGTATTCAGAGCTGAGAAGTTCAGATGAAGTCTTTGACTAAGAACTTTAAGAAAGGATATCAGTATTTTATTTTAATAATGGTGACTCTCTCTTTTAATTAGGAATAAAATTAGGATTCATTCAGCTTCAGAAAAGAAGCTCCCAAACAGAGCCTCAGAAAAAAAGCCTCTGAAGCTGTGTTTGGGGGTTTCTTTTCTGAAGCTGTGTTTGGGGGCTTCTTTTCTGAAGCTTCTGATGCTTTTTCGGCCTCTGAATCCTCAGTTTGAGAAGCTGGGTGAGGTTACATTTGGAGTATAAGACGGACCCAGATTTTCACCCTCTTTTTGGGGGGAAAAGGTGTGTCTTATACTCCGAAAAATATGGTATCAGTTATTTTCATATGTACAGGTAGTCCTTGACTTATGACCTTTCAAAGTAACAGTGGTACTGAACTTGTCCCCGAAGTGCCCTCATGGTGATGGGATCAAAATATGATTGCTTGGCAGCGCACCCACCCTTAGGCCCACAGGGCACTTCAACTCCCCACACACAACTATCTCCCTAAACAATGTGCATTTGACCCCTTGCACTCTGTGGGCCATGCCGCCCTAGCTGACCTTCACCTTCTTCTTGCTCCTACTGCTGACAAAATACGCCCAGCCTGGTCCTTTGCAAGGTGGGTTGTTAGCTGCATGAGGCTTTCTTTCCAGATCACATGTGGCAGTTTCCTTCCCAGACCTGGAGAAGATGACCTCATGTGGCCAGCAGCTGCCTCATGAAGAGTCAGACCAGGCACGTCTCATCAGCAATGGAAGCATAAAGACAGTGAAGGTGAGCTGGGACAGTGGAGTGCAGAGTGGTGAGGGTGATCACGGATGTTAACTAAGGTGGAGTGGCTACAGCTTTGTTTTGTGCCATGCTGCTGGGTCACACTAGAGTTGGGCTTTGTGCTACAGCTCAGGAGCCTTTTGTAGCCCCAGAGTCCTATGCACACTCCCTTTGCCCCACACTGCTGGTTCAGACTGAGGTTGGGCTTTGTGCTGCAAAGGGCTTCATGCTGTATCTTAAGCTTCTTACAGCCCCAGAGCTCTGGTGTGCCAAGAGGCTCCTTTGTGCCCCACTGCTGGGCCAGACTGAGGCTGGGATTTATACTGTGAAGGGCTTTGCCTGCCCCTCATGCAACATTGCACTTCACAACCACCTCTTTTAGCAATGGAAATTTCACTCTCTGCTCTGGTTGTAAATTGAGGACTACCTGTACACATCAACAAGGAATTAACTGAAAAATATAACTGATTTGATTGTTTACAATGAAAACTAGAAAAAATTCATGAAGGATGCAATGGTGAGGATAGGCCATCTGACTAGCCAACTTTTTTTTTAAGAATGTTGAAGTATACATTTGTTTACAGTTGATATATGTTTATTTTGCTTAGAAACCAGGAAAGAATGTGGCAGCAATAATACAAAATATCCATTCTCAAAGAGAAAGAGATATGTTGAGAGAAGCAGACAGGTATTTTTTCATGTTGATATTGTTCTATTTTTGTGATGTATGGAAAAATAATGTGAGTTCAGTAGAGGAGAAATATTACTGGTCCTTCCTAATAATTTGGGAATAAGCTAGAAAGTTTAGAAAAAATATTCATGCAAGATAAACTAGTAGTTCCTTACAGTTTGAAATTTTCTCCTATTTGAATAATAATATGTTATACTGTTTACTTTGTTTTTGTTTTGTTTTTTTTTAAATCACTTTTATTTTGTATGGATTGCTTATATCTACCTAATAAAAGCAGTCCATATTGAATAAAGCAAGAACTCCCTTTCTTGCAAAGAGCCGCTTGGTCATCCCATGTCTTTCCTCCTTCTGAAAAGTGTGGAACAGCTGAGCTATTTTTGCAAATGCTCCAGTAGTGAAGAACTTTGTCAGCCTTTTGCAAAGGGGAAAGATGTCAGTCACCAAGACACGGATAGCAATGGCCAGAAATGGAGAGATGCAGCATAGAGAGGCAGAGATGGGGAAATAGCTGTACTTCAGGACCAGAAGTCTTGGGACCATCCCATCCTTGCCTTAGGAACCAAGATAGATTAAGATAAGAGATCTAAATATCTTTTTCCTGAATAAATATCTAATATCACCACCAGAGCTCTTTAGTTATATAACTTAATTTATATTATTACTTAGTACTAGTATTGAGTTTTGTTTCTGACCATAGTAATATATTAACATTTTACACTTGTTTCTGCTCCTCTGATTAAATATACAGTATATGATGCAAACCACATGGCAAATATTATTATAAGGCAAGCATGATATTCAATATTATTGACAATTTAAAATGCACATGTACATCTAAAAAGAGTAAACTTAAAATAGCTGTGGACCTTAAGTAGCAGCTGATTTATTTATGATTATATGCAGCATGCCACTTTTTCCCTATGCTATAGATATGGACAGGAAAGGCCTCGATCCCGCAGCCCCATAAACTGCTCACTTTCTCCAAGATCACGGACTCCAAGCTTCACTTCCTGTAGTTCTCCCCGTAGCCCATTAAGCACAAACCGAACAGAGTGGGGAAATGGAAGAGAGCCAAGGGATCAGTTTCCTTATTCTCAGAGAGAGGAAGATAAAGAATTACTGCCATGGAGAGAGAATGTGGAAGAGAAAAGAGATCGGAGTGACATGTGGACTCATGAAAGAAAACATTATTTACGGCACCCGGACTTGGAAGACCATGTTGAATCAACCCGAGGGCACAAAGAAAAATATTTAAGAGGGGGCTCACCTAGTGCAAAAGGGGCTTACCTTTTGCCTGCGTATAAGATGAGAGAAGAAGATTGTTACAGAAAGTCATCTAAGCAAAAGTCCAATAAATATCAAAACCAAACATTGGATTTTGCTTTGAAGGGCAAAAGAAAGGAAGAGACAAGATTGAGAGAACATAAACATTCTCATTGTGAAGACACAGCTAAGGAGGAAACAGCAGAACAAAAGTCCATCATGATGCCTGACACTATCAGGCAAAAGCAAAGCAATGAAGAGAAATTAAAAGAAAATGCTAAAAAGGCAGAGGACATGACACCTGGTATAGTTGAAAGAAATAATGTAAAGAAAGGAAAAGAAAATGAAAATGAGGTAATAAGTACTATAAACTATCATGAATGTAAAAATAATTATTTTAATTCATTATTATTAACATTAATTATGAAAGAACTGCAATTGTTTTATAGACAAAACAACCACAAAAATCTTTTGTTTAATTAGACTATACATTTATTTTTGCAAGGTCAGTAAGTACTCAAGTTTGTTTGTTTGTTTGTTTGTTTGTTTGTTTAATTAATTAATTAAATTTTTATACAGCCCTTCTCCTGCTGGACTCAGGGTGGTGAACAGCCAAGAATAAAAAACATCCAATACAAAATTTAAAATTATTAAAAGAATTAAACAAATTTTGGCCCAGATTTAAAACATCCCAACTAAAATCCGTTACAATTAAAATATCTAGGGGGGGGGGTGTTACACCAGCCCAGCTTGGTGAAATAGAAAAGTTTTGAGGGCACGGCGAAAAGCACGGAGATCTGGTATCCTACGTATCTCTGGGGGCAGGTCGTTCCAGAGGGCAGGTGCTGCCACAGAGAAGGCCCTCCCACTGGGGGTCGCCAGCTGACATTACCTGGCTGACGGCACCCTGAGGAGTTCCTCTCTGTGGGAGCGAACTGGCCGGTGGGAGGCTATCGGTGGCAGAAGGCGGTCCCGCAAGTACCCAGGCCCTGTGCCATGGAGCGCTTTAAAGGTGGTAACCAACACCTTGAAGCGCACCCGGAAGACCACCGGGAGCCAATGCAGCTCGCGCAGGAGGGCTGTCACATGGGAACGGCCCATCGCTCCCATAATCCCCTGCACGGCCACATTCTGCACCAGTTGGAGCCTCCGGGTGCTCCTTAAGGGGAATCCCATGTAGAGAGCATTGCAGTAGTCCAGGTGGGAAGTGACGAGAGCCTGAGTGACTGTGCGTAAGGAGTCGCGATCTAGAAAAGGATGCAACTGGCGAATCAGGCAAACCTGATGAAAGCCTCCCTGGCCACAGCCGTCATGTGCTCTTCTAAAGACAGCCGTGCATCCAGGAAGACGCCCAAGTTGCGAGCCCTCTCTGAGGGGGGCAGTAACTTGCCCCCAATAGCCAGCGATGGCACCATCTGGCTACATCGGGATGCCAGAAGCCACAGCCACTCGGTCTTGGAAGGGTTGAGTTGAAGCCTGTTTCTCCCCATCTAAACCCGCACAGCCTCCAGGCACCAGGACATCACTTCAAGGGCATCGTTGGGATGGCCTGGGGTGGAGATGTACAGCTGAGTATCATCAGCGTACTGATGGAACTCCACCCCAGAACCACGAATGATCTCACCAAAAATAGCAAAAATAACAAAAATATTGTAGAATGTTATATCTATATACTACTACATTTTGAATCAAGATAACTCAAATGGGCTGACCTACAGAACGTGTCAAAAATCTAGGACTATGACTCCTATGGAATTGAAATTTGGTTAAATAAAAAGGTTCTCAGTTCAGTTACTGCTTAGCACAAATTGCATAAAAATAAGAGTACAGGTAGTCCTCGATTTACAACCACAAATGAGTCCAAAATTTCTGTTGCTAAGTGGAACATTTGTTAAGTAAGTTTGCCCCATTTTATGACCTTTCTTGCCACAGTTGTTAAGTGAATCACTGTAGCTGTTAAATTAGTCAAACTGTTGTTAAGTAAATCTGGTTTCCCCATTGACTTAGCTTGTCAGAAGGTCATAAAAGGGATTCACGTGATCCCAAGACACTGCAATCATCATAAATATGAACCAGTTGCCAAGCATCCAAATTTTGATAACATGACCATGAGGATGCTACAATAGTCGTAAGTGTGAAAACTGGTCATATCCCTTTTTTCAGTGCCATTGTAACTTTGAATAATCACTAAATGAACTGTTGTAAGTTGAGGACTACTTGTTCTAAATTAGAATTTTTACAAAGGCACAGGAATTGCAGGCAAACAAGACCATCTATAAGAATTTTTTTAGAAGTATTATCTTTTTTCTCAAATAATCTGTTATTTAAGATTAGATCAAATTCTCTCTTAAGCCCTTCTCTTATCACTTAACAAAAGAGAACTTGAGGGAAAAATTATTTCTTTGTCTCACTTTTAAAATATTTCTCAGTTTGTAAATAGACATAAAATGCTCTCTATGTAGCTTGAGACCTTTCCCCAGGATGGAAGGTGCTACCTGAGTAAATACCTTTTTTTGAACTTATATATTGAATACCTTTTCTTCCAAATTTGGTCTACTTTTTACATTAATATCACTTAAATACCTGTAAAGCTTATTTAACGCTGTTTACATTTTAAGATGTGTTTTGATGCACTGTATACTCAATATTATTACTTTTGTATTCTATTTATTATATGGTTTGAAATTTAAAAACAAAATGTAAGTACTATCACTACATAAATCCACATGTATTTATCAGTAATAAATAAATATTATTTGTCATGGCATTTGAGTCAGATAGTTGGCTTCGTGTGCCTTCTTGAGGTCCTAAAGGACAGGATATAAATCTAATAAAGAAGTAATAAAGAAGCGATTTGATTTATTATTAAAAACAATTTGTAATAAGCAGTCTACAGGTTTATTTATTATAATCTTCCCAATAAAATTTGCCTTTTCTCAGCAGGACTGGGAGAGTGGAAGTGACATGGAAGCGGAAACTTGGTATCCAACCAATATGGAAGAGCTTGTAACTGTTGATGAGGTAGGAGAGGATGATCTTATTATGGAACCCGATATAACTGAACTTGAAGAAATAATAACTGTAAGTCAGGAAGAAGAAGAATGTTCCATAAGGACTGCCTTAGCTGCTGGATTGGAGGTAAAGAATGAACACAGTTTATTAAGTACAAAGGAAGACAAATCTAATATATTGGAAGCCACCATAAGATCAGAGAAAGAAAATGCAGATGTAAGTGACTCTGAAGGTGATAATAGAGTGACTAAAGCAACCCATCTAAACTTTGATACTGAAGATAAACCAGATGAATTGCATGAAAGTAAATCTGAAGAAGATTCGGATCAGCATGATAATGACAGAAAAATAGATGAAAGTTCTAATATTCAGTTAAAGTTGGAGAAGCAGTACATATCTTCAGATCCTCCAAAGGAAGAGCCCTTACAGCAGAGTGATACAGTTGTAGATGATTATAAAGAGATAGAAACTTTGGAAAGCAGGAATAATGAAGATAAAGATATCCTGGCAAAAAACTCTCAAGAAGAAAGAAATTGTGGAAGTGAGGAAAAGCCAAAGACTCAAAGTATGATGTTCCCTTTTCCTTATTTTTATATAAGCAGTATATTTAAGTTTACTATATTTTAGTACAAATGTGTGTTACTCAAGCATTTTAACCTTCTGGCCAATGAGCTAGATTGATGAACTGATTGTCAACATTAAATCATATCAAATATTATCAAGGATATTATGTAAATGTTTAGCAAATACTCTTGAAGAGTTTTCTTGTTATGACCTCTTCTAAGTTCTTACAATTTGAAACATTGTCATCTTAAATTACTTAGACTTGTCAGTGTGAACAATTATTCTTCATTAATGACTTGTTGATTTTTTAAAAAAAAGTTATTAGGGATCAGAAAACACACAGCTTGGAAATGAACACGTTGTTCCTACTATCAGTTCCATCTGCCTGCTGTGCTAAATAGCCAGTTTCTGGTGCAGCCCATCAAGAAGGGCGAAGCTTTCTTCTCACAAGTAATCTGGCTGACCTTCTCTGCTCCTGCCTTTTCTCTGCCCTACGTGTTCTTGGATCAGGTGCAGAAGGCAGTTCCTCTTCTTCATCACTGACTGGTTGCAGCTGCATGTTTTCTTCACCTGAAGCCTCAGGGTGCTGCTGCATCTGTGCTTTAGCCAGATCCCTCTCAGACTGCCGCTTGGAAATATTAACTAACTTCTCTCCAAAGTCCAGATGAATCTGGAACTGTTTCATCTTTCTCCAAGCTAACATCTGGAGAGAATACTAAAGAAGCAACAGGGGGAGTCATCACAGTGTCTTTGTTGGGACAATCCTAAAATGTTTCAGTTTTGGCCTCATATTTTAAGGATATTTTTGTTTAAGAAAATAATTTGATAGAAGCTTCTTATAGGAGCTTTTTATTTAATATTCCAGAATATTTTATTTACCATTGTGCTTTACAGTATTTGCAAGATTACAATTTCCAAAATACTGTAATGTAAACAATTCAATAACTTCACCTAAATTCTTAAGAAAAAGTAGATGGAACAATGCATAGTAATTTTGGAGAATATCATATGAAAGAATCCCTGAGTGATCTAGAAAATGTTTTGTAGGTGGTATTGTAGGCTTAGGTGTATGTGAAGAAACTACGTTCATTCAAAATGTTCCTCTGTTTTTATAGCAAATTGTAGGTATACAGAAATAAAAACTCCTGATTTCCCAGAAGCTGAATCAAAAAAGTCGTATTTTTCACCACCGTGGGAACAAGATGATGTATTTACAGAGCTCAACATTCCACTAGGTTTGTCTGATTAGAAGTAATTCACATATAATATTACTTTTTACGGTATCTTTATCTTATAGAACAATGTATCTTGAGTTTATTCAGAGAGGTTTTCTATCTTGAGAATAATATTTAAAACTCCAGATTCAAGAAAATACTGTGAACAGTATCTGTTAAACAGAATCTGAAAAATCACAGATGCCCAGTTGCTTCAATATGTAAAGTCATGTATTCGGTTCTGAACAGAGTTAAGTTTCATTAATCAAGATGAGCATGAACCATTTTTCTTTAATGAAACTGAGAGAAATCAGTTGATTTTTGCTAATTAAATTCAGGGAAACAGTCTGCTTCAGATGAATAAATAAACAAAATATAAACAAATCTTTCTGCTTAGCTGTTAGAATGGATAATGATGATAATGATAGTACTGATATCATATATGGAAATGACGATAATCAAGGAAAGAAAATATGAGTAATTCAACTTTCTGCATATTATATATTTAAATTGAAATGTTAAAAAATTAATTGGAAACACCAATCCTAATAAAGTAAACAGGATTAAATGAGTATGGATGAATGGTACTGACTGGATTTTATTATTAGCTGCAGACAACATATCAGAAGCCCAAGACAAGAGCAAACTTTTAAGGAACCTCAATACAAAAACCAAAAGGAGAGAAAAATATTGAAAGCACTGAATGCTCACTTTAAAATGTTAAGTAACCATGGGTTTGATTGATTATTTAACTGCTGCATTTCCAGCTGTTTCCCGAGGTCAGAGCTACTATAAAAGAGAAAGAATCCCAGAATGAAAGGAAATTGAATTTCTCACTTTTTTCCCTTCCATTCTTTAGAAACAGAGGATAAATTTAGTTTATTTTCAACTGTAAGCCTTCCTTCTAACATTTGGATTTAAAACCCTCTTTTCTCTAAAAGGAAGAAAAAATATACAAGGAATGAAAAAGGCTAATATGCTTTGTCCAGATCTTTTTTTTTAAGAAATGCAGGTCTGGCATGTGGAATCTTCTTGCTCCAATTTTACAAATTGGTCAAATAAAAAACAACAATGAATATTTACATATTTCTATAGTTTTTTATTGATGTAAATGGCTCAAATGTTCTATGTTGAATTTAAAACATGTAATAGTTGCAAGATGAAAATAATTAGATGTTTACTCATTGAAATAATTAGAAGTGGAAACATGAAAAATACTATAAGGCTATCTGTTAAATGGTATTGGCTATACTATACAGGTAGACCTCAATTTATGACCACAATTGAGCCCAAAATTTATGCAGTTGTTAAATGAGTAAAATGGTTATTAAGTGAATCTGGTTTCCTCATTGTCGTTGCTTGTCAAACTTTTGCAAAAGGGGATCACATGACCCTGGGACACAGCAATGGTCATAAATATAAGCCAGTTGCCAAGCATCTGAATTTTGATAATGTGACCACACAGATACTGCAATGTTGTAAGTGTGAAAAAAAGGTCATAAATCCCTTTTTTCATCACCATTGTAATTTTGAATGGTCACTAAATGAACTATTGTAAGTCGAGGACTACCTGTAGTTCATTAGATTCAAATTAACAACAAGCTGAATTCAACATTTTTTTCTCCTATGCAAGTTTTTTTAAATTTATTCCTAATCGTTAAATTCATTTTTTTTATAGGGGTGGAATTTGTTGTTCCCAGAACTGGCTACTACTGCAAACTTTGTGGACTTTTTTACACAAATGAAGATGCAGCAAAAATTCATCATTGTAGAAGTACTGTTCACTATAAAAATCTGCAGGTAACAAATTATTATTTCATTCAGATTATTAAATTATCCAAACTATTCACAGCATATGCAAGATCCTTAACCTGAATATGTACAGTATTGTGGTATATGCATCATCATTATTCTTCATTGCAGTGTTGTGTTTCCCTTCCGAGCTCAATTTTATCATAGTAGTGGTGGATGAGGAAGAATATTGTAGAAAGTGCACTCCACTATAGTAGCATAGAAAACTGCATGATATAGGATATAAATTATATTACTTTAGTAGTATACAATCTTTTTAAGTATGTACAATGTATTGTATTACAATAAGCAGAGCTATGCCTTCAAGTTCCAGTGACCTTCATAATACTATGCTGTTGTTATTTCCCCCCCCCCTCCCCCAATATCTTGCAAACCAAAGTAACCACTCTGTCGTGCAAAGGAAGAATAGATGTCCTGCCTCTATTTGAGATAGAAGGGGAGGTTTACTTCTGTCATTTCACAACGTGAAACAAAACCGTATCTTCACACTGATTCTTCATCCCATTGATTTCAATGGCTCTAATAGCTACCAGTTTACATGACTGATATGAAGGACATCTACATCCATACAATGAATCTGGACAGACTATCACCAGTGCCTTCATTTATTACTAGAGAGTATCTGTTTCAGTTCAAGATGCTTCTCTTTGATCTTTCAACTCCAGCAAAAGAGTATTAAAATGCAACAGGGTTGTGTGAGTCCACTTCATACTTTCAAGTGAGATAAGTTTTTCATTACTTTGGTAATTACTTTCTGGCAGCTCCTTCAAAAGAAGAAGTAGTTGCTAATGCCAGAGCTATATTAGATCTAGCTTGCTTGCACTTTTGTGTCAACCACAAGAAATCTCACTTAATTTGTTCCCACTTCTTGAGATTTCTGGGACTTATGCTGGATTCTCCAGTACTTTTTTCTAGCAGGCAAGATTACCTCACACTCTATCTTGGCATTTTAGCCTACAGCAGCAGTATCTACTTGCATCCTCCAGAGTCTGCTGGGTTATGTGGCTACTTTAAACTTGCAGTAGATCAGATTGAAGTTTTCCCGAGAGAATTAACACCTCTTCACTTCAACCCTCTATTTATAACCTTCCACAAACACATGGCAGTACTATATCCTGATATCCAGTTTCTTCCTCAGATTGTTCCTTTTTCTTCATTTTAATCATGATATTTTTTTCAAGCTTCAACAATATATAAATCATATACTGCTTTTTACCCCAAGAGCTTTGAAGAAATTTGTCCTTCATATACGTGTCCTTGTAAAATAAATAAATACAAAATAAAACAAATTTAGGAAGGTATATAAAATGGTGATTTAAAAATATCAAAACTACTAGGCAATTGTAACCTGTTAGCACATCATTTCAGAGTTATTTCTTTTCCTACTAGTACACCCCCAAAATGCTTTTCCTGACTCTCGCCCTGCTTCCCTCACTTTCTCCCTGACTCATATCCTCATGTACCCTCCTCCACCCTCACAGATCCTCCCTGAGCCTTGTCACACCTCTTGGGCATCCTCCCCAACCTACACTCTCTGGCATCTTCCCTGACCTGTGCCATGCCACTCATGTGCTTCTGTGCATTCTCCTGAACCTTGTTATGCCTCTCTGTACCCACTATCTCCCTCCCTCATCTGGCAGGAGCCACTTATTTGCCTACTGTCCTTGGACTAGCAACTTCCTGTCAGTTTCCCCACTGAGATGTGGGAAGCTGGCAGGGAATGTTGGAAATGACAACACATCACTGAAGCAGACACAACTTTTCCAATTTTCAATCCCACAGAAGTCATGAGTTCCAAATTTTTGATGCAATATTTGTTAGTCCATTTGAGATACGTTGATTAAAAATTGTTGCCTTATGACGCTCTATTTTGCCGAATTGAATGTTATAAACAATCAAATACAAGAGTTTTAGTAGTATATATATGTATCATTATTCAGTGTTGTGTGTTTCTGTTTTGAACGACTTGCCTCCAGAAGTTGTGGGTGCTTCAATATGGAGGTTTTTAAGAAGAGATTGGACAACCATTTGTCTGAAATGGTATAGGGATTCCTGCATGAATAGGGAGTTGACTATAAGACCTTCAAGATCCCTTTCAACTCTGTTATTCTGAACAAATTATGTTTGGGATAAAAGAAGTTGTAAAATTTTAAAAAGTGAAGCTAGCAGAAAGAAGGCAAAAATGTTTTTTGCACTTTCAAATGTACTTTTCCATGGAATATTGAAGCTAATATTATCATTTCCATATGTTATGAGAATGGTGGACATGCCATACTTCTGAGTTAAATCTAAAATGAACTAACTAGAACAGTGTTTCTTAAACTTTGCAAGTCCATCAAGCAATTTGGATCACAAAACTACTCTTTATAAGGAATACCACCTACATGTCTATTTCAATTCAAACAGTTAGTCAATGAAAGGAACATTGAAATGAAACATGGTTTAATAATACACTTTTCTCCCCTTTTACCCCTCAATTTAAAAACAAGGGAGATGTATAAGAATGTAAACATTGGTGTGTGCCTTCTGGAATAACATTTGTAAATTTTAGAATCAATTCAACACTGATTCTGTTTCAATATTTGACATCCATTGTAGTGAGTGCTGAAAACCCTCTTTTACAATCCTACAAAGGTATAGGATTCCCAATGCCTTTTCACTTAAAAGCATGTACTCTTTTTAAACAATGATTTTTCCCAGTTATTTCAGTATGTTTGGAGGGGGCCTCAAAAATGTTCTAGTCATTGTTTGGTTAGTGGGGGCCTCAAAAATGTTCTAGTCATTGTTTGGTTAGTGAAAGCTGAATAGATTCAGAACAACTCACATAATACATTTACACTGTTTGGGGAACATAGGTGTTTTATTTATTTATATTTTATATTTCTTAACCCTCCATCTCTTTCACAGTTTTGTAGAATGTAGGTTAGGAAGCACTAAACTAAACGCTAAAATACTTCAGTTTAATTCTCTAGTTGCACATCTGAAGAATTTTTACACATCATATCATTAGAGCTCAAGAGAAGATTGTCACCTCACCTTGGCCTTTCTTTAGAGCAAGAAGTGAGATGATGTACATACCATGATAAGTCATGCACAAGCTTAACTGAAAAAGGAGATGGGAACAGGTGAAAGGCTTGCCTTTAGGATTCTTGGTGTTCCTTTAGCATAGCCACTAAATCTAAGACCAAAGCAATTTTACATAGCTGGATAAATGTGCACTTGCTTATTAAGATCTGGACATATTAATGGTTTTAGTAAACCTAAGCAACAGATGAATCTGTTTTTAAGAGTGTGAAGTAAGTGGCATTGGTTTGGCAAGGCTTCTTTACAAGAAGGACTAAGAGTATCAGCTTCTTGTATGTGTGTGTGTGTTGTGTATTTATGCATGTCTACTGAATTTAACTTCTAATTAAGTGCACAGCTGTTCCAAAGGCCCTACTTTGCATCAGTAGTATTGCCCTGCCGTTTGGCTCCCACCCAGACCTGGCTTTAAAGAGTCTTCAAAACCTGGCTCTGCTCCCAGGCATTAGGCTAGAGTGAGCGCCAGTCCCTTGGGTGTTATGTGGCTCTGTTTGGAGGCTGACATTTTCCCCAAAACATCTGTAGTTATTTTGTTTGTACTTTGGAATTGTTTTAATATTGTATACTATCAAGAGTCACAGAGGAGTCAGGCAACCAATAACAGACAAACAAATGAATAAGCAAGAAATCCCTAGAATTGAGTAGTTCTTGAATGTTGAAGAGGGATCATACTAAAAAATAAGAGAGATGATACTACATAATGGCCCATATATGGCTGTTGCTTTTCTTTTGATCAGCAATTTTAACTATAAGTGAGTTGGGAATTTTCCAGAAAATCAGATGAAAATGCTTTCTGTTCACTATTGATTTGGGGCTGCTTTTAGCATCAAATGTTACAGTTTGTCCTCAATTTATGACTATAATTGAGACTGCAAAATTTGTCATTAAGTGATACAGTTGTTAAGTGAAGCATCATGTGACTGCACTCAATTTTAACAATCTTTTTTGCCATAATTGCCACTTGCCATCTTTCAGTTGCTTTTCCTATTGACTTTGCTTGTTGAAGGCCAGGGAAAATTTCAAATAGTGATCAAGTGACTGTTGGACACTGCAACTATCACAAGTACAAGCAGTTTGCCAAGGTCTAGATCACAGGTATCAAACTTGCCGTGTCACAATGAAGTCAAATGACATATCACAACATTTTTTGCCCTCGCGGAACTGGGGTAGGAGTGGCCTGTGTGTGATGCATCTGGCCCATGGGCTGCCATTTTGACACCTCTGGTCTAGATCATGCAATCATAGGGACACTGAGATATTGTAAGGGTAAGGACCATTTGTAAGTCACTTTTTTCAGTGCCATTGTAACTTGAAATAATTACTAATGAATAGTTGTAAGTCAAAGGCTACTTGTATAGACATTATTTGTCTTCCCTTCCTATCAGTTTTTTTAAAAATTGCAAATTTATTATTTTGATTATACTATGATTATATTATGATAACTTTTTCATCATTGTAAAACACATTATCAAAATTATATTGCACAAACATTTTTCAGCAATCATGCTAGATAATTGGAAGCATTTTGAATTTTTGCTTTATGTTTGGAAAAAAGTGCTAACTTGTGTTAAACATATCCGCACATGCTCACCTTAACATCATTGGTTAAAGATAAACCAAGCGAGACTGGCAAAGAAGAGAAGCTGAGGTGAGTTGATACATATATAATGCTGCCACTGGGACTAATCATTAGGTTTGTATTTCGATCTTTTGGCATTATTAAATGCTTTTATGGGAATACATAGTGTACTTTTGTCAATTTAATTGTTCATTAATTTAAAAGCAGTTTCTTTGTCCCACATAGAAATACTTATCACAGCTTGCAGAAGAGAATCTGAAGATGAATGAAAAAGAAAACAGCTCAGCCCAAGATGATACAGGGATTGTCCCACACTTCGAGGAGAAAAAGCTATGATTTTTTTTTATCGAATTGGAAACTTGCTGATTTGTTTGCTGTTCTCAATGATGCACCTTTAGTTTGCACTTTGCCAAAGAAAGTAAATCATAATTAACTTTTTCTGGCAGCTACACTAAGAGCACCATTAAAAATATAATCCCTGCAATATAATAAAGCACAAGTGACAATATCTATAAGTAGTAACATCCATATCTCCATAAGGGATACTGTTCTCTTTAAATCAGAATTCTCAGGGATTTTCTCCATGTTACTTGGATTACAACCTCAGTTAGTCCGTGAATGAGGCTTATCTGAAAAAGAAATAATCTGAATGAAAACTTTGCATTAGTAGTTTTGTTCAATGATCATTCTCAGTAATATACTACAGCTTACATTACATTACAGGTGATCCTTGACTTACAACCATTCATTTGTGACTATTCAAAGTCACTGAATGGCACTTAAAAAAGTGACTTATGACTGGTCTTCAAACTTATGACCATCATAGCATTGCATGGTTATGCAACAAAATTCAGGTGCTTGGCAACTGGCATGTGCTTATGACGGTTGCAGCATCCTTGATCACGTGATCACCATTTGTGACTTTTCTAGCCAGCTTTCAAGAAGCAAAGTCAATGGGGGAAGCTAGATTCACTTAACGACCACATGATTCACTTACCTGCAGTGATTCGGTTAACAGCCATGACCAAAAAGGTTGTAAAATCGGACATGAATTACTTGCTTAGCAATGGATATTCTGGTCCAAATTGTAGTTGTAAATCAAGGACTACCAGCACAATTAAGATATTATATTACTGCTGATAATACTGTTTCTTTTGGGCAATGCTGTCCTTATCAGGTATAAGGCAGTTCGTGCTATATATTTTCAAAGACAGTTTTTAATTTGCACTGAATTGGACGGAATTAAAGAAACCCTTCTGTTTTCAATTCGTGAACATATGTAGAACTCTAAATTTTTGTAAGTCTAGCATACTATGACTCATGTTTTCCCTGCTAGTCTTATTTTCTACCCTCTTCCATGTTTCTTAAAGCTAATTTCTTTTAAAGCCATTGTTTGCTAAATCCTAATATATTTGCACAGGAATATAATAGTACTTCTAGATGAGCAGCTGTTCAAAAGCCTATCTATGGTGCTGTAAATGCCATGATGGGACTGGCACATACATAATACACATTTTTTTATTAACTCAGTAACATATTTTAACAAATCAAGCATTCTGATATGAATCAACTAAATATAACAGTTCTCATTAGAACTGCCTTAAAATTTAATGTTCATAAATTTTACATTAATTATATAGCTGCCCAGCACATTACGTGTGTGTGAAAAGTTCATACAGATTTCACTAAATAAAGCACGAATTTATTTGCTTGTGGATATAATAACTGCTGGTATCTGCCATCATAAAAAGTTACTATAAAATATACTAGATAACAGTCCTGAACCATATTGCAAGAGCAAGTATAATTGCTCTAGAGCCTTGTTTAGGTAGTTTAACAATTTAGAGAAAATATTTCTACCATTTGTTACTTCTGAAGTTGTCCAGTTATCCCATGAAATCTTTTTTTTATAATTAAAAAAATCTTTAGTTTCAAGATCTCCCAACCAAAATCTGATTGTATTACCTGCTTCAATATCAGCTATTTCTTAATTGTAAAGCAGAGGAACCAATATTTTCATTGTTTTTATTTTTAATAAGTCTGTGCCATTAAATAATTCATTAAATATCCAAATCCCTGTCTCAACTTTACAAGAGTTAACATAACAAGAGACATAACATGTTTCAGAATAATAAACTTAAGAACTTTTGAGACCCTAGCCTTTGGCTTGACTTTGTAAAATAAAGGCAAGCATATTCTTAAAGCATATACCACATTTCTTCTATTTCAGTAATATTGGTCAGTTAAAACATTTTATCCCAAGTTTAAGTTTAAAACTGTCTAAGGCAGCTAACAAAAATATTAAAATAGGGAATAATAACAGGGAAAACTAATATATCTTTACTTCTGGTATTACAGAAAAGGCAAGTTGGTTTGTAGGGGGAACATAACTATATTTGTTGTTTTAATGTAGATCTTAGTGAAAATAAGCTCACAAACAGTGAAGAATACGTATTCCAGCAGCAGACGATAGAAAGATGTGGAATTGCTTATGCAACCAAAATGACAATTTTGCTTTGGAATTGGTACACTAAAAACCTGAAATTTTAAAACACTTGCTTTTCCCCCTGCCTTGTTCTTTATGATTGTATTTCTGAGGGGGGCATGCACAGGGTAGCTTGAAGAGAATCCAAAGACTTTATTATAAGTATGTAAAAAGCTTATTTATAAACAATTGCAAAATATTTGAAATATTTTAAAATCTTTAGGTCTTGCAACACCTTACTTGTCTCAACCTATTACTTTTTATGGTTTCATATCACATACCTTTCATTTTAAAACTAAGGAATCTAACTAAGCCCTAAAATTTGACAATTTTTTTACTGACTGCAACACATAAATAGTATTAGGCTTTCAGGGTTTCTATATCAAGTTTGATGTATTGATAGATACTTGAACTGGACCAGATGTTATTATTTATTAATCATATAGTCTTGTTTAATTATTGGCTTGTAAACATTTGAGATGTGTCAGAAGTTTAATCAGGAAGAAGCACACATTTTTATTGTCTATATATCTTGATCTATTGATGCAATTTATTTCAAATTGCATTTGTAAAAATAAATGAACGGTTGTAATAAAGATAATTTTTAATGACTGGTGAGCTTTGGTATCCACAGTAACTTTCCTCTGGGTTCCTGTTCTTGTGCAACCTTTATTCAGCTTTCAATTACTCTGACAAATGCTTGGATTGGCTGTGTCCAGACTGCAGTGTGCAGAAAAGAACTTTGGACTGAAGTTTAACCTTCAACATGAAATCATAATTAAATGCTAGCTTTTGTATATCAACTGGAGTGATGATAGTTGTGATTTATGTAGAAGAGGACTGATGTAGTATAATTTTTTCTCTTGCATTTTAGACTTGGAGGCAAGCGTCAGGATGATTTTATGTTCTGTTTCAACCTTCCTGAATTTACCACCAATTCTAAATAGGGAAAAGCAATTGCTGGCAGAATTTTTTACTTATACCACTGGAGCCATCAGCAAAGGAACCCTAAAAATTATGTGTAGGAGGAAGACCAAACTTTGGTAATATTGTTATTTGTTTTTGCAGAAAGCTCAAATCACACTGTGAAGTTACTTCCAAAGAAATTCATCATTTGAATTCTGTTCTTGTCTCAAAGATTAAATCTTTTTAAAGCATTACTCAAGCCAGTTCCATTTTTGTTTTAATTCTAGCATTTTTGTTGTGAGTGGTCTGCCCCCTACTGGATAGTTTATTTATTACTTATCCATTTATTATTAATTTATGAGGACCCAGATTGTTGGGGGCAATATGCTGACTCTAAACGTCTTAGAGAGGGCTGTAAAGCCCTGTGAAGCCCTGTGAAGTGGTATATAAGTCTAAGTACTATTGTTATTGCTATTACAGCAACAGTATTAATTTTTCTTTGAACATGCATAAAAATATCACTAATATATTGTTTTACACAGCCCTGTAATTAAATTACCATTTTAAATTCAATTTATAATAAATGATTACTGGTACATGTTACATATTCAGTAAAGAATTACTGATTTAGAAACTGATGCTCATTATATGCAGGTATGCATTAAAACTGTATACAGTAAAACATTTCATATTATGTATTCTGGGTTTTAGATTTGTGGGAATTGTGTTTCTCTTTTACATCTGTATCTTTTTTAAAGATAAAGAATTTTGAAATTATTGTGCAAATTGTAAGCATTTCAAACTTTTGTATAGTTTTAATTTTTAACACCTAATTTAATTTAATTTAATTTAATTTAATTTAATTTAATTTAATAATTTAATTTAATTTAATTTAATAATTTAATTTAATTTATATGCCGCCCCTCTCCAAAGACTCAGGGCGGCTCACAATACATTTAAAAAATCATTATAAAAACATTAAAAAACTCATTCACACCATTCATGGCCGGATCTCGCCAGATCACAAGAGCGAGAACAACGGCCCCAGACCTTTTGGAAAAGCCAGGTCTTCACCACTTTTCGGAAGGCCAATAGGGTGGGGATGGTCCGGACCTCAGGAGGTAACTGGTTCCAGAGAGCTGGGGCAGTCACAGAGAAGGCCCTCCCCTGCGGGTCCGCCAGCCGACATTAGCTGATGGGACCCGGAGGAGACCAACTCTGTGGGATCTTACTGGTTGCTGGGAGCTATGCAGCAGAAGGCGGTCTTGAAGATAACCTGGCCCTGAGCCATGTAGGGCTTTTTTTACGCTCTCATAGAGAGGGACTCCTCCGGGTGCCGTCAGCCAAACAGTGTCGACTGGCGGCCCCTAGGGGGAGAGCCTTCTCTGTGGGGGCACCTACCATCTGGAATGAGCTCCCCCCGGAGATACGGAGGATCCCGGATCTGCGCTCCTTCCGCCGTGCTGTGAAGACCTTATTCCATCAAGCGGGCTTGGCCTGATCTCTTCCCTTTTTAAATACGTAAATTTTAATCTGTTTTTAAATTATTGGGGTATTTTAATTTGTCTGGGCCAAATAATTTAATTTGATTTTATCGGGTTTTTAAATTTTGTGTATTTATGTATTTTATTGTTGGCTGTTCACTGCCCTGAGTCCTTCGGGAGTAGGGCGGTATACAAATCAAATAAACTAACTAACTAACTAATTTAAAGGTAATAACCAACTCCTTGAATTGTGACCGGAGACCAATAGGGAGCCAGTGCAGCTTGCGGAGAATTGGTGTAATGTGGGTGTACCAAGGTGCATCCACGACAGCTTGCGCGGCTGCATTCTGGACCAACTATAGTCTCCGAACACTTTTCAAGGGTAGCCCCATGTAGAGCATGTTGCAATAATCTAACCGTGAGGTGACAAGGGCATGAGTGATTGTGAGGAGAGCCTCCCGATCCAAGTAGGGTTACAATTGGTGCACCAGGCGAACCTGAGCAAAAGTCCCCCTAGCCACAGCAGTCAGATGTTGCTCTAATCTTAGCTGTGAGTCTAGGAGGACACCCAAATTGCGAGGCCATTCTGAGGGGGACAATTTCTCTCCCCCCCCCCAGAACCAAGGATTGGCA